CCACATGCACCACTGAGCATCACCACGTGCACAACTTAGCACCGCCTGATGCACCATTCAGTATCGCCACATTCACCACTCTGCATCGCCACATACACCACTAAGCATTTCTAGATGCACCACTCGGCAAAGCCACATGCACCACTAAGGATCGCCACATGCACCACTCAGCATCGCCAGATGCACCACTCAACATCGCCAACTGCACCACTCAGCATCGCCACATGCACCACTCAATGGCACGACAAGCACCGCTCAGCATCATGACATGCACCACTCAGCATCGCAACATGCAGCACTCAGCATCACCAGATGCACCACTTAGCATCGCCACATGCACCATTCAGCATCCCCACATGCACCACTCAGCATTGCCACATGCACCACTCAGCATCGCAACATGCAGCGCTCAGCATCGCCACATGCAGCACTCAACATCCACAGATCCTCCACTCAGCATCTCCACATGCACCACTCAGCATCAACACATGCACCACTCAGCATCGCCACATGTACCACTCAACTTCGCCACATGCACCACTCAGCATCGCCACATGCACCACTCAGCATCACCACATGCTGCACTCAACATCGCCACATGCACCACTCAGCATCGCCACATGCACCACTCAGCATCGCCACGTGCACCACTCATCATCGCCACATGCTCCACTCAACATCGCCACATGCACCTCTTGGCATCGCCACATGCACCACTCAGCATCGCCACGTGCACCACTCATCATCGCCACATGCACCACTCAACATCGCCACATGCACCTCTGAGCATCGCCACATGTACCACTTAGCATCGCCAAATGCACTACTCAGCATCGCCACATGCACCACTCAACATGGCCGCATGGACCACTCTGCATCGCCACCTATACCACTCAGCATCGCCACATGCAACACGCAGCATCGCCACATGCACCACTCAGCATGGACACGTGCACCACTCAGCATCGCCACATGCACCACTCAGCATCGCAACATCAGCACTCAGCATCGCTACATGCACGTGGCGGCATCACCACAAGCACCACTCAACATGGGCACATGCACAACTCAGGATCGCCACATGTACCACTCAGCATCGCAACATGCAGCACTCAGCATCGCCACATGCACCACTCAACATCGCCACATCCACCACTCAACATCACCACATGCACCACGCAGTATTGCCACAGGCACCACTCAGCATCGCAACATGCAGCGCTCAGCATCGCCACATGCAGCACTCAACATGGCCAAATGGACCACTCTGCATCGCCACATGCACCACTCAGCATCGCCAAATGCACCACTCGGCATCGCCACATGCACTACTCAGAATCGCCACATGTACCACTCAACTTCGCCACATGCACCTCTAATTATTACCACATGAACCACTCAGCATCGCCACATGCACCACTGCGGATCACCACGTGCACCACTAAGAATCGCCACATGCACCATTCAGCGTTGCCACATGTACGACTCAGCATCTCCACATGCACGACGTAGCATTGCCACATGCACGATTCAACATCGCCACACGCACCACTCAGCATCGCCACATGCACCACTCAGCATCGCATCATCAGCACTCAGCATGCCACATGCATCACTCAGCATCGCAGCATCAGCACTCAGCATCACCACATGCTGCAACCAACATCGCCACATGCACCACTCAGCATTGCCACATGCACCATTCAACATCGCCATACGCATCACTCAGCATCGCCACATTCACAGCTGAACTTCGCCACATGCACCACTCGACATCGCCACACCCACCACTCAACATCGGCACGTACACCATTCAGCATCGCCACCTGCACCACTCAGCATTCCCAGATGCACCTCTTAGCATCGCCAGATGCACCACTCAGCATCGCCACATGTACCACTCAACAACTCCACATGTACCACTCAGCATCGCCAAATGCACCACTCATCATCCCAAGATGCACTGCTCAGCATCGCCACATGCACCACTTAGCATCGCCACATGCACCACTTAGCATCACCACATGCACAACGTAGCATCGCCACATACACAATTCAACATCACCACATGCACCACTCAGCATCGCCACATGCACCACTCGGCATCGCAGCATCAGCACTCAGCATCGCCACATGCTGCACTCAACATCGCCACACGCACCACTCAACATCGCCACATGCACCACTCAGCATCGCCACATGCACCTCTTAGCATCACCACATGCACCACACAGCATCGCCACGTGCACCACTCAACATCGCCACATGTACCACTTAGCATCGCCAAACGCACTTCTTAGCATCCCCACATGAACCACTCAGCATCGCCACATGCACCACTGAGGATCGCCACGTGCACCACTAAGCATCGCCGCATGCACCATTCAGCGTCGCCACATGTACCACTCAGCATCGCCACAAGCACGACGTAGCATCGCCACATGCACGATTCAACATCGCCACACGCACCACTCAGCATCGCCACATGCACCACTTAGCATCGCAACATCAGCACTCAGCATCGCCACATACAGCACTCAACATCGCCACATGCACCAATTGACATCGCCACATGCACCACTCAGCATTGGCACGTACACCACTCAGGATTGCCACGTGCACCACTCTGCATTGCCAGATGCTCCTCTTACCATCGCCACATGCACCACTCAGCATTGCCACGTGCACAACACAGCACCGCCTGATGCACTACTCAGCATAGCCAGATTCACCACTCTGCATCGCCACATGCACCACTCAGCATTACCAGATGCACCACTCGGCAAAGCCATATGCACCACTAAGCATCGCCACATGCACCACTCAGCATCGGCACAAGCACCACTCAATATTGCCAGCTGCACCACTCAGCATCGCCACATGTTGTCACTCCTACTTGCAGCAACCGTTCCCAATTTGAATCACGTTGATTGATGAAGTATTCGCGACGCTATGGCTTTCGACGCACTAGGGGGTAAGATGTAGGAGGAGAACTTAACTCAATCTCAAAAGTTCAATCAAAGTTCAAGAATCTCACAAGGAATTGGAGGAGCAAGAGAAAAGGTTGGGATAAAAAGAGAGGGATGAGAGGGAAGGTCCTAAGAGAGTCCCCAACCAAGGAAACCCCATAATCACGAAGATTCCCCCCCTATAGGAACCCCAACTTTGACATTTGTCCCTTCCCAACCAATCCATCAAAGTTGGCCACCCTTGCCAACCTAGCTTGGTTGTTCCCAACCAATTTGCAGCTGTTACAGTAGAGTGACAAATGTCCCCAACTTCAAAGGTCCCAACTCCATATAGAGTCAACCCACAACTTCACTTTGTAACCGCCGCAATTGTAACACAAGCTCATGAACTTCGAATCTTCATAGCTTTCGCATTCTTGCTCCGATTGAAGCGATTCTTGTTGCGTCTGAAATATCTTCTCAAGATCTATCATCCCAAAATACATGCTCAAACAAATCAACACAAAACACATTCCCAAACTCCAGAACACACCACACACAAATTCTTGCACACGTTCAAACCACACATGCGAATTGAAACAAGGGATGGGAGGCAGACAGAATGTGATAGCATATGATGACATCACACAACAATCTCCCCCTCTGGCTGCCAACCATCAACCACCATACCAACATCTCAAGCATGCATACTCAATGCACACTCATCCCAGCAAGCTTCATGCCCTTCCAATGATCCGCCTCCGCCAGACGCTTGGTGAAAATATCTGCTGCCTGCTGATGGGTCTTCACTATCTCCAGCCGCACCTCCTTATCAAGGAGTCTCCTCACCAAATACTACTTAGGCCTTATGTGTATTGTCAGCCCATGCAGACAAGCATTCTTGGCGAGCTTCACAGTAGAGTCATTGTCACAGAACACAACTGTCGGCTCCTCCTGACCAACTCCCAACTCCTCCAACAAACACCTCAGCCATACCACTTCCTTGGCCCCATGGTGTAAGGCCATGTACTCAGTCTCATATGAGGACAATCCCACCTCATTCTGCTTCTTGCTGCACCAGCTCACAGCACCACCTCCTAGAAAGCACACATAACCCCCAATGCTGGTGCCATCCGCTTTCACTGAGTTGAAGCTAGCGTCAGTATAGCAACTCAAGAGCATCTCACCACTCTTCACATCTGCAGCACCTCTCTGCAACCGCTGCCTCACTCCATTGTACTCCAATCCCACTGATGCCGTAGCACTTACATAGCGGACCAACCTCTTGGCCGCTTCCAGCTGCTCATGACTAGGGCGTGAGACCACACTAGCCAACCGTGATGTAGCAAATGCAATGTCAGGCCGTGTATGATTTGCAGCATAATTCAGCGACCTAACCATCGAATGAAACAGCTTCCTGTCACTCTCACCCACTACCTCCTCATCAGCACATGGCTCCACAGTAAACCCCGAAGGTAGTGGTGTTGCTGGCTTTCCCCCATCTTGCAGCCCATACTTCTCAGCCAGCCCCTCACAGTACTTCCTCTGGTGCAACCTCAGTACTGGAAACTTCACATCCCTTGACACTGTCAGCTTCTGGGTGCTCAAGTCCCATAGCAGCCACCCCTTGTGATCCTTTGCAATCCCCAAGTGCACACCCCATCTTCCAGAAGCCTCCAACTTCCCCCTTTTCGCCTTGGGCACATGAAACACCACCATGCACCCAAATGCCCTCAGCATGTTCACAGCTGGAGCACTCCCATACCACTTGACATATGGGATCCACTCCTTATCCCCAATTGTAGCCAGCACCCTGTTCTTCACAAGGGCGACCTGCCTCAGTGCAGACACCCAAAACGGATCAGGCAGCCCTGCACGCCCAAGGAGAGTGCGTGCCCCCTCCTGCAGGGTCCTGTTGAACCTCTCAGCCACGCCATTCTGCTGCAGGTTGTAGGGCACTGACAGTTGATGTTGGATCCCCTTCCTCTTCAACTCCCCCTCAAAATCAGCTCCAATGAACTCCCCACCATTGTCACTGCGGATCACCTTCACCTTGTGTGCGCATTCCCTCTGAGCTCTAGGCATCCACTCCTTAAGGACAGCCGCTGCCACCTCCCCCTTGCTCTTCAAAGGGTAAACCCACACTGCCCGAGTGTGGTCATCCACAATTGTCAAGAAATAGCGGCTGCCTGAGAGGGAAGGGGCTCTTGTGGGCCCCACCACATCCATGTGCACAAGTGCAAGTGGGGTCTTGGCTGGTCCTGTAGTGCTGTTGAAGGGGAACTTGGAGAACTTGGTCTCCAAGCATGTAGGGCAGCTCCCAATCTCCTTCACTCCCCCTTTCACCTCCAAGCCCTTCAGGCTCCCATCCTTCACCAACTTCTGCAGCATAGGGAAGTTCACATGACACAGCCTCTCATGCCATGTCTCCCAATCAGCCTCTCCACTCCTTGATGAAGCCTTAGCCCATGCCGCACTCGCATCCACACCAGCAAGCACCTCACCATGTGTCTGCTGCTGCTGCACTTTCTTAACTGCATCCAAGACCCCATCAGTTGGTGCAGTTGCTGATAAATGTGTATTATTCTGTGGTGTAGTTTGCTCTAGCTGGTTGTGGGCTATTGGGTTTTGGGCAAAAGGACTTGGGATGGTTGGCAAGATTTGAACTCGTTACCTTACCAACACATACAACCTCAAACCCACTACCACATCTTTGATGTTGCAGTTGCGGCACTTGAGAGTGTTGGGGTTTGGTCTAGGGCAAGGGTTGGTGGTGCTTGACAATCACATACTGCAACTTTTCCAGATCGAACTGCTGCCCTTCTCGTTTTTACTAGGTGATTCATGGCTGCCTAGCCAAATCACCAGAATATCCCCTCACACTCATTTCGTCATAATCGGCGGCTCAGATCTTGGTTATGAACGTGCTTTACCATTCTGGAAATTAGAGATTAAGACCTTTCCAACGCGTATAAGCTCGTTTCTAGAAGTTACCTGAGCTGCACGCAATGTTCTGTTGAGATCGTCAAACTTAATCTCTAATTAGTTCTCTCCAGATTTGCACGATTTCCATCAGTTGCATCTCCTCCTGCTGTTGCCTTTGCCGCTGCTGCCATTGCTGCTGTTGGAGTCTTCCCATTCCAAGGGATGATGGGCAGCTGCCACAGGTCCTTGATGCAGCTGGTCTCCTCTTCCAGACTCCACAGCATCTTCTTCCCAAGCTTAGCACGGCAGCTGGTTGGTCCAAAGGTCACTTCGGCCTTGCTCTTCTGCAGTCGTCGCACAGAGAGAAGGTTAGCAGACAAGCCTTCAACTAGCAGAACATTCCCAAGCCCCACAAGCTCCCCATTAGCTCCCTTAACCTTGGCATTTCCAACACCAATCACAGGGAGCAAAGCACCTGACGTTGCTGCCACATACTTGATCTTCCCAGGGGGTTTCACCTCATCAAGCAAATCTGCCCGTGGGGTCATGTGACTGGTGCAACCCGAATCAATCACCCAGTGCGTGAGAGGGTGCATCACAACCTTTCCCACAGATCCCACATCACCCTCATGCCTATGCACATCCTCAACCATGAAAAACATCCCAGGATAGGCATTACCTTGTGCACCTTCACCTTGTGCACCTGAGCCTTGCACAGTGCCACCTTGTGCGCGTTCACCACTGGGCGGCTTCATGCCTGGAGGTGCCCAACCCTCCGGCCTGCTGAAGCACTTGAACCAAGGGTGCCCAACCTTCTTGCAGTACCAGCAGGTGCCCTCCATTCTGGTACTCCCCCTGCCACTAGAGCTCCCATGCCCCTCATTATAGTCACCTCGGCCTCTACCTCTGCCAAAGCTCCTCCCACGACCTCGGCCTCTCCAACCTCCTCTTCCTCTGCCGCACCCTGCAGCTCCATACCCCTCAGCAGTCTTAGTGGAAGCACCACCTCCACCATGGCGTCTGCGGAAGTCCTCCTGCAGAATCTGCTGCCTTAGCCACTCAGGTGTCCGTTGATCTTGCTGAGAGTTGAGGGTGGGGATGAGGTTGTCCCAAGAGTTGTCCAACACCGAGATGATCTTGGTGCACTGCTGCAGCTAAGATACACTGCTACCCGCTGCTGCCATCCTTGCATAGGTGTCCTTGATCTTGTCAAGGACCGGCTTCACATCGTCCCCCGGTCGCATGGAGATGGCAGCAAGTTCCTTCTCGAGCACGATCACCATCGGGAGAGTGTTGGGCTGATATACATCGCAAAGTAGTTTCCACGCCCTTGGACCGAATCATCCGCTTCCACAAGATCCTTGATGTGCTCGAACATTTCCTTGTTGACCGATTGAAGGATGAGGTCGAAAAGCACTGCGTTTTTCTCAATCCACCGTTCACGTTCTTCGCCTTCTTCCGGCATCTTCTCCTCCCCAACAGCAATCTTCAGTAGCGTTTGAAGGCACTCCTCATCCGCCCGCTCCATTCCTCATAGTTGGAGCCATCCAAAGCTTCAACTTTTGATGGCGGCGGCTAACTTGTCTTCTCAGGTACAGCTCCTCTTCCATTAGCATCTCCTCCTCTCTCATTCATCTTCTCCATTAGAAATGACGAATTTCAGCTCCCCTTTGCTGTCCACACTCAGCTCCCTTGATATTTTCACAAGTGTCGGCGCCCACGAAATTTCGGCAGAATTTCCCCTTAGCGGAAGACACATCCAACCTTTAGAACACCACTTAGGCACACCCACAGGCCATGGTGGGTATAGAAGGGTCTTCACACTTCTGTAAACTCCTCTCAATGTCCTAAATATCGCTCTGATACCACTTGTTAGGATTAAGGACGGAGTCTAGGTGTGCTTAGGAGCTAGAAATACTCAAAATATAAATCCGAAATTCTGGACAGAAAACTCGTCTACTTGCAGCAACCGTTCCCAATTTGAATCACGTTGATTGATGAAGTATTCGCAACGCTATGGCTTTCGACGCACTAGGGGGTAAGATGTAGGAGGAGAACTTAACTCAATCTCAAAAGTTCAATCAAAGTTCAAGAATCTCACAAGGAATTGGAGGAGCAAGAGAAAAGGTTGGGATAAAAAGAGAGGGATGAGAGGGAAGGTCCTAAGAGAGTCCCCAACCAAGGAAACCCCATAATCACAAAGATTCCCTCCCTATAGGAACCCCAACTTTGACATTTGTCCCTTCCCAACCAATCCATCCAAGTTGGCCACCCTTGCCAACCTAGCTTGGTTGTTCCCAACCAATTTGCAGCTGTTACAGTAGAGTGACAAATGTCCCCAACTTCAAAGGTCCCAACTCCATATAGAGTCACCCCACAACTTCACTTTGTAACCGCCGCAATTGTAACACAAGCTCATGAACTTCGAATCTTCATAGCTTTCGCGTTCTTGCTCCGATTGAAGCGATTCTTGTTGCGTCTAAAAGATCTTCTCAAGATCTATCATCCCAAAATACATGCTCAAACAAACCAACACAAAACACATTCCCAAACTCCAGAACACACCACACACAGATTCTTGCACACGTTCAAACCACACATGCGAATTGAAACAAGGGATGGAGGGCAGACAGAATGTGATAGCATATGATGACATCACACAACATCAACATCGCCAAATGCACCACTCAGCATCGCCACATGCACCACTCAGCATCACCACATACACCACTCAGCATTGCCACAGGCACCACTCAGCATCGCAACATGCAGCGCTCAGCATCGCCACATGCAGCACTCAACATGGCCACATGGACCACTCTGCATCGCCACATGCACCACTTTGAATCGCCACATGCACCACTCAGCATCGCCACATGCTCCATTCAGAATCGCCACATGTACCACTCAAGTTCGCCACATGCACCACTCAGCATCGCTACATGAACCACTAAGCATCGCCACATGCACCACTGAGGATCACCACGTGCACCACTGAGAATCGCCACATGCACCACAGAGAATCGCCACATGCACCATTCAGCGTCGCCACATGCACCACTCAGCATCGCCACATGCACAACATAGCATCGCCACATGCACCATTCAACATCGCCACACGCATCACACAGCATCGCCACATGCACCACTAAATATCGCCACATGCACCACTCAGCATCGGCACGTACACCACCCAGCATCACCAGATGCACCACTCAGCATTGCAAAATGCACCTCTTAGCATCGCCACATGCTCCACTCAGAATCGCCACATGTACCGCTCAACTTCGCCACATGCACCACTCAGCATCGCCACATGAACCACTTAGCATCGCCACATGCACCACTGAGGATCACCACGTGCACCACTGAGAATCCCCACATGCACCATACAGCGTCGCCACATGCACCACTCAGCATAGCCACATGCACGACGTAGCATCGCCACATGCACGATTCAACATCGCCACACGCACCACTTAGCATTGCGACATGCACCGCTCAGGACCACACCATGCAGCACTCAGCATTGCCACATGCACCACTCAACATCGCCACATGCACCACTCAGAATCGCCACATGCACGTGGCAGCATCGCCACAACCACCACTCAACATGGACTCATGCACAACTCAGCGTTGCCACATGAACCACTCAGAATCACAATATCAGCTCTCAGCACCGCCACATGCACCACTCAACGATGCCACATGCACCACTCAGCATCACCAGATGCACCACTCAGGATCGCCACATGTAACACTCAGCATCGCTACATGCAGCACTCAGCATCGCCATATGCACCACTCAACATCACCACATGCACCACTCAGCATCGCCAGATGCAACACTCAGCATCGCCACATGCACCACTCAGCATCTCCACATGCACCACTCAGTATTGCCACAGCCACCATTCAGCATCGCAACATGCAGCGCTCTGCATCGCCACATGCACCACTCATCATGGGCACATGCACCACTCACCATCGCCACATTCACCACTCAGCATCGCAAAATCAGAACTCAGCACAGCCACATGCACCTCTCAACGTCTTCTCATGCACCACTCAGCACCGCCTTTTGGACCAGTCAGCATCGCCACATGCACCACTCCGCATTGCAACATGCAGCGCTCAGCATCGCCACATGCAGCACTCAACACGGCCACATGGACCACTCTGCATCGCCACATGCACCACTCAGCATCGCCACATGCACTACGCTGCATCGCCACAAGCACCACTCAGCATCGCCACATGCACGACTCAGCATCCCATCATCAGCACTCAGCACCACCACATGCACCACTCAACGTCGCTACATGCACCACTCAACCTCGCCTCATGCACCACTCAGCACCGCCTTTTGCACCAGTCAGCATCGCCACATGCACCACTCAGCATCGCAAGATGCAGCGCTCAGCATCGCCACATGCAGCACTCAACATGGCTACATGCACCACTCTGCATCGCCACATGCACCAGTCAGCATTGCCACATGCACCACGCAACATCGCCACATGCACCACCGAACATGTACACAAGCACCACTCAGCATCGCCAAATGCAGCACTCAGCATCGCCACAAACACCACACAACATCGCCACATGCACCAATCAGCATCGCCAGATACAACACTCAGCATCACCACAACCACCACTCAGCATTGCCACAAGCACCACTCAGCATCGCAACATGCAGCGCTCAGCATCGCAACATGCAGCGCTCAGCATCGCCACATGCAGCACTCAACATGGCCACATGGACAACTCTGCATCGCCACATGCACCACTTAGCATCGCCACATGCACCACTCAGCATCGCCACATGAACCACTCAGCATCGCCACATGCACCACTGAGGATCGCCACGTGCACCACTGAGCATCGCCACCTGCACCATTCAGCGTTGCCACATGCACCACTCAGTATCGTCACATGCACGACGTAGCATCGCCACATGCACGACGTAGCATCGCCATATGCACCATTCAACATCGCCAGACGCATCACTCAGCATGGCCGCATGCACCACTCAACATCGCCACATGCACCACTCAGCATCAGCACGTACACAACTCAGCATCGCCACATGCACCAGTCAGCATCGCCACATGCATTACTCAACGTCGCCACATGCACCGGTCTGCATTCCGACATGCACCAGCCAGCATCGCAACATGCAGTACTCAGCATCGCAAGGTGCACCACTCAGCATCGCCACATGCACCACTCAATATCGCCACATGCACCTCTCAGCATTGCGACATGCACCAGTCAGCATCGCAAGATGCAGCTATCAGCATCCCCACATGCACCACTCTGCATTACCACATGCACCACTCAGCATCGCCACATGCACCATGCAGCATCGCCAAAAGCAGCACTCAACATGGACACATGCGCAACTCAGCATCGCCACATGCACCACTCAACATCGCAACATCAGCTCTCAGCACCGCCTGCACCACTCATCAACGCCATATGCACCACTCACCTTCGCAACATGCACCACTCGGCACCGCCTTATGCACCACTTATCATCGCCACATGCACCACTCAGCATCGCCACATGCACGACGTAGCATCGCCATATGCACCATTCAACATCGCCAGACGCATCACTCAGCATGGCCGCATGCACCACTCAACATCGCCACATGCACCACTCAGCATCAGCACGTACACAACTCAGCATCGCCACATGCACCATTCAGCATCGCCACATGCACCACTCAGCATTGCCAGATGCACCTCTTAGCATCGCCACATGCACCAGTCAGCATCGCCACATGCATTACTCAACGTCGCCACATGCACCGGTCTGCATTCCGACATGCACCAGCCAGCATCGCAACATGCAGTACTCAGCATCGCAAGGTGCACCACTCAGCATCGCCACATGCACCACTCAATATCGCCACATGCACCTCTCAGCATTGCGACATGCACCAGTCAGCATCACAAGATGCAGCTATCAGCATCCCCACATGCACCACTCTGCATTACCACATGCACCACTCAGCATCGCCACATGCACCATGCAGCATCGCCAAAAGCAGCACTCAACATGGACACATGCGCAACTCAGCATCGCCACATGCACCACTCAACATCGCAACATCAGCTCTCAGCACCGCCTGCACCACTCATCAACGCCATATGCACCACTCACCTTCGCAACATGCACCACTCGGCACCGCCTTATGCACCACTTATCATCGCCACATGCACCACTCAGCATCACAACATGCACCACTCAGCACAGCCCTATGCACCACTCATCATC